AAGATAGTTGAAAGAGAGAAAAAATTCAGAAAAAATGAAATAAGCAATAAAAGTAAAAACCTGAAGAACCAAAAAAAAAAAAAAAAAAAGACAGAAAAAGTAAAACCAACCAACCAAACAAGCAAAGTCATAAAATTCCTCAGGTGTCAAATAGTTTTGTGTTAGTGTTGCTTCAGAGACCACATCAGTGCTGGGTACCCCAGCAGGGTTGGCTCTGGGTACAAGGCTGATGTTGGTCTCTGGATGTGGGGGCTGGGGCCAGAGTCTTGGACCAGTAGCTTTCTAGATGTCCCTCAACAACCTCCCCATCTTTCCTTACTGTTTGTCTCTGCATTAATCTCCCAGTTACTGTGTTGCCCTCAGATGGAGACAGCGGGAGGTAGCTCGCAGTCCTGTGTGTAGCTGGCGCCTCTCAATCCGTGCATGGCCTGCTTTGTCTCACTCTGCTGGCGTGTCTCTGTCTTCTCTCATGCGGCTGGGAGCAGGGTTGGTGGTGGTGGTAGAGTGCTGACTTCTCACTTGTGTTCTGCTGCACCCAAGGCGGCTTAGCTCCTGCATGCCCCTCTCTTTTTCACACTGCTGGGTGCAGGCAGGGAGAGCTTGGAATCTTCTGTATCCTGGGACATATTTTAGGCTTTATTGTAATAGAAAGTTTGTAGAAATCTGGGGAAGGTCACAATGGAGAGGCACTGGCTTGGACTCCTAAGTCACTTACCTGCTCTGTGAGAAGGAAGTGTTATTGTGGCTTCCTTTATCTCTGGGCTGGAGAGGTAGCTCAGTGGTCTAAGCACCTACTTGGCAAGTGCAAGGACCTGAATTTGATTCCTGTTACCACATGTCGTGCTGGCCACAAAACTGGGCGAGGTGGTGCGCACCTATAATCCAATGCTGTGGAGGCTGAGACAGGAGGATTACTATAAGTCTGAGCTGTGTAGTAAGACCCTGTATCCAACAAATAACTAAATGCATACAAAAAAAGCCCTAGTTTCTTTTTTTTTTT